GTCAAGGGAGACTATGAAGTGGTGCCACACGTCAAGGGAGACTATGAAGTGGTGCCACACGTCAAGGGATGCTATAAAGTGGTGCCACACGTCAAGGGAGGCTATAAAGTGGTGCCACACGTCAAGGGAGGCTATGAAGTGGTGCCACACGTCAAGGGAGGCTATGAAGTGGTGCCACACATCAAGGGAGGCTATGAAGCGGTGCCACACGTCAAGGGAGGCTATGAAGTGGTGCCACACGTCAAGGGAGGCTATGAAGTGGTGCCACACGTCAAGGGAGGCTATGAAGTGGTGCCACACGTCAAGGGAGGCTATGAAGCGGTGCCACACGTCAAGGGAGGCTATGAAGTGGTGCCACACGTCAAGGAAGGCTATGAAGTGGTGCCACACGTCAAGGAAGGCTATGAAGTGGTGCCACACGTCAAGGGAGGCTATGAAGCGGTGTCACAGGTCAAGGGAGGCTATGAAGCGGTGCCACACGTCAAGGAAGGTGTCCCGAATCAGGTATACACCTACTATTGTTAATGTATACATAATTATATAATCATCCCACTTCAGTTTATCAAATATGATTAGTTTTTACATATCATGTTTTACTTTGCAGAAGTACTATATTATATTTTATGCATCTTCCTACACTTATGACAGTGTTTTGTATTATATTGGTTGAGAGGAGGTCATGCGCGCGTCTGTCAGTGGCTCTACTGTTACCAACTTAGCATCGTCATTCAGTGATATTTGCTTCTTTTTGTGATGCATATTATTTTGAGTTATTCCCGTATGTATAAGAAAATAATTACTTGTGTTTATACGTGTTTTTAGGGGGGTGATTATCGCTGTATGTTAGTGTGTCTGTTAAGAGTTCTTGTCAGACGTGTCTGGCTATTGTGAATGAGTCCGGCATGTGTGTGTACCCACCTATTTGTACTCGCTTATTTGTGGTTGCGGGGGTTGAACTTTGGCTCTTTGGTCCCGCCTCTCAACCGTCAATCAGCTGGTGTACAGATTCCTGAGCCTACTGGGCTCTGTCATATCTACATTTAAAATTGTGTATGGAGTCAGCCTCCACCACATCACTGCCTAGTACATTCCATCTGTTAACAACTCTGACACTGAAAAAGTTCTTTCTAACGCCCCTGTGGCTCATTTGGGAACTCAGTATCCACCTGTGTCCATTTGTTCGCGTACCACCAGTGTTGAATAGTTTACCCTTGTCTACCCTGTCAATTCCCCTGAGGTTTTTGTAGGTAGTGATCATGTCTCCCCTTACTCTTCTATCTTCCAGTGTCGTAAGGTGCATTTCCCACAGCCTTTCCTCTCATACCTCTGAACTTTTTCCAGCTTCGTCTTGTGTTTGACAAGGTACGGGCTCCATGCTGGGGCCGCATACTCCAGGATTGATCTTACATATGTGGTATGCAAGGTTCTGAATGATTCCTTGCACAGGTTCCTGAAGACTGTTCTGATGTTAGCCAGCCTCGCATATGCCGCAGACATAATTCTTTTTATGTGGGCTTCAGGAGTCAGGTTTGGTGTGATATCAACTCCTAGATTTTTGTCTCTGGCCGTTTCATGAAGTACCTCTTCTCCTATTGTGTGTGTGTATGTGTGTGTGTGTGTATTCACCTAGTTATATTCACCTAGTTGTGCTTTCGGGGGTTGAGCTCTGCTCTTTCGACCCGCCTCTCACCTGTCAATCAACTGTTACTAACTACTATTTTTCCCCACATAACAAACACACACACACACACCAGGAAGCAGCCCGTGACAACTGACTAACTCCCAGGTACCTATTTACTGCTAGATAACGGGGGGCATCAGGGTGAAAGAAACTCTGCCCATTGTTTCTCGCCGGCGCCGGGAATCGAACCCGCGACCCCAAGATCACGCGCCCGCGACCCCAAGATCACGCGTCCAGCGTGTTGTCCAGTCAGCCACCGGCCCTTGTGTGTGTGTGTGTGTGTGTGTGTGTGTGTGTGTGTGTGTGTGTGTGTGTGTGTGTGTGTGTGTGTGTGTGTGTGTGTGGGTGTGTGTGTGTGTGTGTGTGTGTGTGTGTGTGTGTGTGTGTGTGTGTGTGTGTGTGTGTGTGTGTGTGTGTGTGTGTGTGTGTGTGTGTGTGTGTGTGTGTGTGTGTGTGTGTGTGTGTGTGTGTGTGTGTGTGTGTGTGTGTGTGTGTGTGTGTGTGTGTGTGTGTGTGTGTGTGTGTGTGTGTGTGTGTGTGTGTGTGTGTGTGTGTGTGTGTGTGTGTGTGTGTGTGTGTGTGTGTGTGTGTGTGTGTGTGTGTGTGTGTGTGTGTGTGTGTGTGTGTGTGTGTGTGTGTGTGTGTGTGTGTGTGTGTGTGTGTGTGTGTGTGTGTGTGTGTGTGTGTGTGTGTGTGTGTGTGTGTGTGTGTGTGTGTGTGTGTGTGTGTGTGTGTGTGTGTGTGTGTGTGTGTGTGTGTGTGTGTGTGTGTGTGTGTGTGTGTGTGTGTGTGTGTGTGTGTGTGTGTGTGTGTGTGTGTGTGTGTGTGTGTGTGTGTGTGTGTGTGTGTGTGTGTGTGTGTGTGTGTGTGTGTGTGTGTGTGTGTGTGTGTGTGTGTGTGTGTGTGTGTGTGTGTGTGTGTGTGTGTGTGTGTGTGTGTGTGTGTGTGTGTGTGTGTGTGTGTGTGTGTGTGTGTGTGTGGTGTGTGTGTGTGTGTGTGTGTGTGTGTGTGTGTGTGTGTGTGTGTGTGTGTGTGTGTGTGTGTGTGTGTGTGTGTGTGTGTGTGTGTGTGTGTGTGTGTGTGTGTGTGTGTGTGTGTGTGTGTGTGTGTGTGTGTGTGTGTGTGTGTGTGTGTGTGTGTGTGTGTGTGTGTGTGTGTGTGTGTGTGTGTGTGTGTGTGTGTGTGTGTGTGTGTGTGTGTGTGTGTGTGTGTGTGTGTGTGTGTGTGTGTGTGTGTGTGTGTGTGTGTGTGTGTGTGTGTGTGTGTGTGTGTGTGTGTGTGTGTGTGTGTGTGTGTGTGTGTGTGTGTGTGTGTGTGTGTGTGTGTGTGTGTGTGTGTGTGTGTGTGTGTGTGTGTGTGTGTGTGTGTGTGTGTGTGTGTGTGTGTGTGTGTGTGTGTGTGTGTGTGTGTGTGTGTGTGTGTGTGTGTGTGTGTGTGTGTGTGTGTGTGTGTGTGTGTGTGTGTGTGTGTGTGTGTGTGTGTGTGTGTGTGTGTGTGTGTGTGTGTGTGTGTGTGTGTGTGTGTGTGTGTGTGTGTGTGTGTGTGTGTGTGTGTGTGTGTGTGTGTGTGTGTGTGTGTGTGTGTGTGTGTGTGTGTGGGGTAGGCGGGAGAGGAGCTTCAGTCACTACGTGTGGTTGGTATTGACTGGTCGTGTATCTTTAGGTAAGTCTTTTGTCTTTTTTTTATTTGCGCTTATATATTTTTAATTAAGTCTGGTTTATTTAAGTACTGTTTTATTATTAGTACTCATTTCAGTTATTTACATAATCTTTATATGTGTCGGTGGTCATCAGCTCAGTGGAATTTATTTATCATTTTACTAGTGTGCCATGTTTTTAACTCTGGATATATATATACATATATATATATATATATATATATATATATATATATATATATATATATATATATATATATATATATATATATATATATATATATATATATATATATATATATATAAAATATATATATATATATATATATATATATATATATATATATATATATATATATATATATATATATATATATATATATATTCTTTGTGTACCTGACAGCTGAATGGACAGCGGTTCAGATTCGTTATCCTGAGGTTCCGGGTTCAATTCCCGGTGGAGGCGGAAACAAATGGGCAGAGTTTCTTTCACCCTGATGCGTCTGTTACCTAGCAGTAAATAGGTACCTGGGAGTTTGACAGCTGCTACGGGCTGCTTCCTGGGGTGTGTATAACAAAAAGGAAGCCTGGTCGAGGACCGGGCCGAGGGGACGTTAAGCCCCGAAATCATCTCAAGATAACTCAAGGTAACCTCAAGTACCTATCGCTGAGTAAAATGGTGTTTTTATATTTTTAAAATAGTTGTTTAATTGCCTTCCCTAAATATTATGAATAATGTTTGCCAGGCTACTTTGATTATAAAATAACTGTAACGGAAACACGAGCCTTACTCATGTGTGTAGGTTAACAGGAGGTTACAAGGCGGCGCCACAGGTCAAGGGAAGTTACAAAGTGGTGCCACAGGTCAAGGCAGGTTACAAAGTGGTGCCACAGGTCAAGGCAGGTTACAAAGTGGTGCCACAGGTCAAGGCAGGTTACAAAGTGGTGCCACAGGTCAAGGGAGGTTACAAAGTGGTGCCACAGGTCAAAGGAGGTTACAAAGTGGTGCCATAGGTCAATGGAGGTTATGTAGACGTACATCAGGTCAAACACATGTCGAAGAGGCACATAATAAAACCTATAATTCTGAAAATCACAGATCAAGTTATATCACACATATGGAGGGGAAGGAAGCTCAAACGAACGAGACACTGAATAGTATGACAGACAATATAGAGATAATTACGAGGGGAACCGCTAAGCCTGTATGACTAGGGAGAATATAGAAGCAATATGAGGAAAAAGAGCTGATCTGTGTGGTTGCAATGAACCACCCACTTGTACTATGGGGGATCGATCCATTGCCAACCCTGCGAGAAGAGAGGCCATCACTGTACCGATCACTGTAAGTGGGTGAAGAGGTGAACAACCTGATGACCAACCAAGACAGAGGTGGCTATAATATACAGATAATATGTCACCTGTTATGGCTCTATCAAAACTTAAGCAAAGAGATTTGATTATGCCCTAACAGTTCGTTCTCATTACGCTGCATCTCTTTATTTTACTAAAACATTTTGTGTTATTCACTATTAAAATTAGGATTGGCAGAGGACATTGTTCTAGAAATGTTAAGAAAATTATTGAGAAGGTTCATGAGAGATGAATAGTTAAATAAATTGATATAATCATACGTAGTTTTAATACAACAATTTATCTCACTTGTCTGGCATAGTTGACCCCTTGACGGAACTTCCAAGACTGAAGAAGATGAAGCCGGCGTCTCCTGAGGCTGCCACCCACTGCTCCAGGTCCTGGTGGATTACACGAGTCAGTAAACTGATGTATCTTCTTAATGACCATGGCGCGAAATAATATTCTAATGAAAGACTGGAACTAAATGGATTCTAAATCATTGACTAACGAGAAATGCACCATTGACCAGGTGATGGTAGGGAGGACTAACCAGAGGGAGAGGCTGGGCTGGTCTACAGTGGATGCCGCCAGCGTGGACCACGGTAGGGACGTAAGGTCTGGGCGGCACCTCCAGGGTCTCCACACTGAAGCAAATAACAGTCACTCTTCCCTGCCTTGGTAAAATATTTCCTCAAACAACGTAGTGGAATAAAATATATGTAGTATCCTTTGATAACTTTAATAGTAGTATTATAAACTTAACTTTGGAATAATATTTATATATATATATATATATATATATATATATATATATATATATATATATATATATATATGTATATATATATATATATATATATATATATATATGTATATATATATATATATATATATATATATATATATATATATATATATATATATATATATATATATATATATATATATATATATATTATATATATATAAATATATAAATATATAAATATATAAATATATATATATATAAATATATAAATAAATATATAAATATATATATATATATATATATATATATATATATATATATATATATATATATATTTATATATATATATGGGTCACCTGGTGATTGGTAGAATTGCAAGACATTAGGATGCAGGGCGCCCAGGTGAGGGTGATACTCTGCTGGATGAGGTCATTTACTTCGATTTGATACGACTTCGGCTTGATACGTATATATCTTGAGGTTATCTTGAGATGATTTCGGGGCTTTAGTGTCCCCGCGGCCCGGTCCTCGACCAGGCCTCCACCCCCAGGAAGCAGCCCATGCCAGCTGACTAACACCCAGGTACCTATTTACTGCTAGGTAACAGGGGCATAGGGTGAAAGAAACTCTGCCTATTGTTTCTCTCCGGCGCTCAGGATCGAACCCGGGACCACAGGATCCCAAGTACAGGTTGCTGTGCGCTCGGCCGACCGGCTCCCGACCGGATCGGTATATAAGCTGCTGACGTGTGGATCGCTAATAGAAAATTACCTGCATGTAGAGACATCATTGCTGAGAGGTGGGCTGCTTTACATTGTGCTCGTACCATTTAGTGGATATTTACATTTAACAAATTAGTGGTCCAGCACACATGATAACATACGGAAATTTATCCCAGAACTCCAAAGTATTTAGCATTCAGTTGAGGTTATAATAGATTTGTAAGATATTATATTAAAATGGTCTAGAAAATAAATATTATAATATATCAAGAATTCATTCCCATTAATAGTACAGTGACTACCGTTGTCAACCTGTTAGATATATAGAGACTACCGTTGTATATTTGTTAGCAATATAGAAACTTCCATTCCTTACCTTTTAGCAATAGGGTGATTAAGACTACCGTTGTTTAATTAAGACTACCGTTGTTTATTTGTTAGCAATCTAGAGACTACAATTGTTTACCTGTTAGCAATATAGAGACTACCGTTGTTTTCCTGTTAGCAATATAGAGACTACCGTTGTTTACCTGTTAGCAATATAGAGACTACCGTTAAGTCTCATGGCAGAGATTAAGGCCGGGCCCTCATCAACCTCAGCTGCAATCCTGGGAAGAAAATACAGAATTTTAACACAGTAAGTATATTATACTTACTATGTACATATTCACTATATAACCTCTACAGTGCTTCCCCCTGCTGTTTGCCATAACCTTCTATGCAACAATCGTTAAACAAAAATTTTCCCATTTGATTTGTGAATTATTTTTAATCATTCATAGCTTGCCGAGTGACTAAAAATCACAAATAATCAGAGCTCGGTACTTCTAAATAGCTATACCGTTGAATATATAAGTTGAGAGGGAATACTTTAGGGAGAAAATTTATATTAATTTATTTTCATTTAAATTTATTTATAAATTGCGATTATCTCTTAAATTAAGCAGAATGTATATTTATTTAATTTACTGAGCAGTGTACTGTATACTTTAACTCTTCACAAATATATCCCACAAACTTAGAAGGGTGTAATTATTCGATATATTAAGGTGAGAGCATTGTAAGTTAATTAATGAAATTGATTAAAATAATTATTCTTTTATTATAAAAGTTAAATTTAATATGCTCTTTCATGAAATTAAGAAAACGTATAACAATGTTGAATGTGGCAGCAATTCATAATGGCAGTGGACCGGACACAAATCAAACACGTGACAATGGCAAGCTCTTAACAAACAAACAAACAGCAAACAGAATTCATCTCAGCCGCGGCTCAACTTATCTGCAAACGAGTTACAATGTAAAATCGAGTAGTTAATTTTTATTTCTATTCTAGCCGTACCCGGCCACGCGTTGCTGTGGCTCAGCAATGCATGTGCGTTGCTGAGCCACAGCAACCTTCCCTGTCCCCCTGTCCTCCCCACCATTGCCCCCTCGCCCGTCTCCTCGGCCTTCCAACCATCCCCCACTCCACCGTCCCCTCTTCCTTCCCACTCCACCAACCTCTCTTCCTTCCCACCATGCCCCACTCCCCTGTCCCTTTGTCCTACCCCACCATTCTCCATTCCTCCATCCCCCTCATCCCCACCATCCCAAACTCCCCCGTCCCCTCGTCCTTCCCCATTATTACCCCTTCCCTTGTCCCCTCGTCCTCCCCACCATCTCTCACTTCCGTCCCCCTCGTCATCCCCACCATTCCCCACTCCCTGGTCCGATGCCTTCCCAAATGGTCTGATGTTCACATCAGAAAATTGGGAACATCAAATGATCTGATGTTCCCATCACTGAAATATAAGAAAAACAGTTAAAAATTGAAATATAAATATGGAAAAAATAAACTATTCTCAGGAAATGAACGGTGTGGTAAACAACACAGCTCAATTCCAACGTAATTCACACAAAATAATTAAATTAAAATGAAATTAAGTCAAAATCTGTGAAAATTCAATTTATATCAATGCAATCAGAAACATTGAAATAGAATTGCAAGATTTAGTATAGTATGTGTGTTGCTCTTACATTCAACAGATTTCGTTGTTTTTCAGGAAAAGCATAGTTTTACCTGGCACAGGTATACTTATATATACACAGGTATACATCTATACTTATACCTACGAAATGAACGGTATGGTTAACAACACAGCTCAATTCCAACACAATGTCACACCAATAATTCAATTCAATAAAAAATTAAATAAATCGAAATCTATAAAAATCAAATTTATCAATGCAATCGGAAACATTGAAATGGAATTCGTGACATATTTAGTATAGCGTGCGTGTTGCTCAGCAATAGATGGCGCTGTTTTTATAAAAAACATGTTTTTACCTGTTACAGGGGTGGCATCTATATAGTTGTCATATAAAAAGACGCGCCTATTCAAATACAACGTTGTGTTAAAATTTCAAAGCAATCGGTGAAGAACTTTCGGAGATTACAGCGTGTGTTGCTCTTACGTCCAACAGATGGCGCTATTTAAAAAAAAAAAAACATATTTTTTTATGTCACAAGTGAGGAATATATATAGTTTGTATACAAAAACAATCGCTTATTCGAATGCAACGTTGTGTCAAAATTTCAAAGCAATCGGTAAAGAGGTTTCGAAGCTTTCTCTCACATGAAAAACACATGAAAAATGCAGTTTTTACAAAATACATGTTTTTCCACGTCACAGACGTGACATCAATATAGTTTGTATATAAAAATCTGCTCGGATGCACAATAGAACGTTGTGTGAAAATTTGAAAGCAATCGGTGAAGAACTTTCGGAGATTAGCGATTTCGAACAAACTAACATTTCCATTTTTATTTATATAGATAAACGAATAAAATGACTTGATATCACAATTCGTGATAATATTAAGCGACTCTCACACTTTAGTTGTTAATGGGCCTATGTCATACCCGAGACAGTAATAAATTTACTAGCAGAGCTCAACCACTAAAAATACTGAGCTGGATAAAATAGACTTGCCAAGAGCTGAAGATGTTGATCTGAGCTACTAAACACAGTTAGATAACATGTAACAGATACTGGCATTGTCAGCCGACAAGTCTTCTCAGCATCCTCGTCCCAAAAATGGCCTTTCTCCCCGTTCCTGGAGATGCGTTCTTTAACGCATTATAACTTATTTAATTCAAGGAAGGAGTTAAATTAATTTAAGGAGTTAATTAAATTAGATCCCTCTTGGATCCTTTTGAGTTAAATTTTTCATTGTTGTTTATGCATTAAATTGTCAATAATTAATTGATAATAGACGTAGATTCGTAGTTAAACAATAATGTGTTGCTGACCTGGCAGGGATATTTCTGATAAGAGAATGGAAGAATTAATTATAATTCTTCCCTTTTAAATTAATATTAACTACGATTTAAATGTAGAAAAATTACACACAACAGAACATTAGTTAAATTGCATATCAAACAAGAATATAAGACTGAACATAAGTAGGTGGAAAATTTCCTACATATGTAATGCACATTAGAACAATATATCATGCCTGAACATATAGTCACAATGCAGACATTAGATAGCACTATAAATATTACGATACACTAAATATATTCCCTTGAACAGTGAATGTAAAATGCTCTGAATTTATTTTAGTAGTGTTATTGCCTTCTGGGCGAATATTAAAGGAAATTGAAACGTTTGTCAATGCACCTTAACAGTTACTTACGTGTCTAGCAGTGATAATGTCAAGAAAATTTCAAAAGGTGCAAAATACTTAAAAAATAATAACAACAGACAACAATAATAAGAAAATATTATATTGGAAGTAAATAGGGTATTATGGAATATGACTCACAACGGTGTCAAGTAAAATTTCCTTAAAGCGACGAGGAGTAGATCACTGAGTGTGTTAATCATCCTGCCGGTGAACGTGAGAGGGTAGATTCGGTCCAGGAAGTAGCTGGGCACCATGGACGGGAAGTGCGGGTTGCCCGCCTGGTCGCTCAGGGCTCCATGTAGTGAGTTTGGTGTCATGTGAATATACGGGACCTGAATCAGTTATAAAAGTAATGGTGAATGGTAAAAATGTATGGAAACATACATTTCTGCCTGTCTTACAAGAGTAAGACAGGCAGAAATGTATATGCTTCATATATAGGTTAGAATACTTATCAGGAAAGAGCGCTATGCCAGATCAGCTATATAGCATAGTATGGAAT